AAAAAAAAAAAAAAAAAAAAAAAAGAAGAAGAAGAAGTGGCCTCAACTGCCAGGGCTACAGGCTTAGCCACTAAAAATGAGGGGTCAGACCCAAGTATAAGGCCTCTGCAGCCCACACCAGTTGGGAGCTGTCAGTCCTGTTCTTGGGGGCGTCCTACCTCTAGGGTTGGAAGGTAGGCAGAGAGGAGCATGATAAGCCTGGAGGGGAGCAAAGCAGTCCCCCCAGCCGAGCACCCCCAGATGGGGATCCTGCACCGCACCCGACAGACGCTCCATGTTAATGGCGCCCTCTGGAAGTGTACGATGTGATAACTGTGCCACCTCTGCAGCAGTGATGCCCTGTGCCCAAGGGGACAACCCTCCTAGCCTGGCTCGGCAGTCCTCCTGACAGTCCCCATCTCACCCTGGCACTGGACATGCCCTGCCCGCCCGCATGCCAGCTCACCGAGCAACTTCTTGCTGTCCAACTTCTGCCGGTTGAGGGGGCTGGTGCCGTAGAGCAGGGTGTGGTATTCAGAGTGCACTGCCTGGATCTCGTCTAACGTGGCTTTGCGACCCCGTATCCGCTGTCAGGAGGATCAGTCAGAGGGGTCACAGAAAGGCGCAGCTCTCCCAGCCCCTCTCTGCCCGATAGCCAGGGGCACACACAGCCGCTTGCTGGCCTCAGGAGCTCCAAATATTTTTGAGAAAGTAGACCCTGGCTCTGTCGTGACCCTACTCCACGATCCTCCCACAGTCAGCTGGGGACCATGCGGGACTATAGGCTGCAAGGGATGGAATGGAGGGGATGGGGGCAGAGAACTGGCCCCGAAGTGTAGGGGTGAAGAGAGGATGAGGAAGAGGCATGAAGGAGGCTTCTCTAACAGGGAAACAGAGGCTAGATTTCAGTTAAGGGCCAGGGGAAGGAGGGGCTCCCTTACCTCGCACTTGCTAAGCAGGCCTGTCTCCTGCAGCCGGGACCAGATGCTCTGGATCCGGCCAGCATGTTCAGGGTGCACATGTGTGTTTCCGCACATGCACTGGTGCTTTAGCATGAACGTGTCGTAGACCACACCTGGGCCACAGACCCACTGTCAGCCAGCACTGCTCTGGGCCCAGGGTCCCAGCCTGGCTACCTCGATCCTCAGCATGGCTCATGGAGCTCTTTCCAACCTCCAGGTCCAAACTCCTCCCCACGGCCACCAAAGCCACCCTCCCACACACCTGCCCCCTCTCCTCTCGTTTGTTTTTCTCTTTGAAACAGGGTCTCGCTCTGTCAGCCAGGCTGGAGTGCAGTAGCGCTATTGGCTCACTGCAGCCTCAACCACAGCCCCCACCACCCTGTCCTCAAGCGATCCTCCCACCTCAGTGTTCTGAGTAGCTGGCACTACAGGCATGTGCTACCACATCTGGCTAATTTTTGTATTTTTTGTAGAGATGGGATTTTGCCATGTTGTTCAGTCAGGTCTCAAACTCCTGGCCTCAGGAGATCCACCCCTCGGCCTCCCAAAGTGGTTGGATTACAGGTATGAGACACTGCACCTGGCCTTTCCTCTCTAGCCTTTGCCCCCTCTCAACTCCTGAATTTCCTTTGCTCCATTATTGCCTGTCAGAAGCTTCCGTGCTCCTCAATCCCAGCAAGGCTGCCCAGGACACCCCACACGTCCGATCTCTGCCGGCTGCTCCCCTCAGCTACACCCTTCTCACAGCACCTCCTGCCTCCCCCTCCTGCCAAACCCGTGTCTTATTCCCCACTGGTGACATGGGACCGCCCTCAGGGATGTCTGTGTCCTCCCAGAGGCCAGCCTGTGGCAGCTTCATGGGGAAGAGGACTCTGGTCTTATCCCAGACCTCACAGGGAGAAGGAAGGAAAGGTCGAAAGGCAGGACCCAATAGGGGCAGCAGGCTCTCTCTACCCAGCACTTCAGGCTATGGGGCAGTCCTTCCTTCCGTGGGGTGAGAAAGATGCTGCCCAGTGGGCAGAGGTGGAGCTACCCACTCTCCCAGCTGAGGCAGAAGGCCCTGCCACTACAGCTCTGGGGTACAGGGAGAGAATGAAGGCCTGTGTCGCCGCTTTTCAGGGTGCCTCAGGGGCTCCAGCAGCCTCTTCCCCCTGCCTACAGGCCAGACACCACACACAGGCCCCCTGCCTGGCCGAAGGACATAACTGGTGGTGGGGACTCACCTGTGGTGAAGAGGTGTTTCACGGGCTGGTCTGGAGGGCTCTTCATGCCCCCAGGGGCAGCAGGGGAGGACTGGGTGCGGCCCAGGGCCTGGTGAGGCACAGTGGCCAGGCTGAGGGGCGCCTGGTACACCTGCAGTGGCTGCAGCTGCTGGGCATCTGAAAATAGCTGGAGGGGATGACAGTGGGAGGGGGCCCAGGTCAGACTCAGCCCGGACAGGGGTAAGGGCAGGGCCTCCAGGGGAGTCCCAGTCCAGCACTTTTCTTCTAAGTCTCCTCCTTCCCCCACCTCCTCCCACTTGCTCCCTCCTGGGACAGGAGACACATCTCCTCTGAGACAGAGAGGGATGGGGGGAATGTGATGAGTCACATCAAAGAGTAGCATTGAGGTAAGAGGCTGGGGGGGGTGGGGGCGGGGGGTGGGGCGGGGGTGGGATGAGTCAGGCCCAGAGGGCTCCGCTGTGTCCGCAATGAATGGAGTGCCAGCTAGGCGCGAGGCAGACTGTAGTAACAGCGGGGGCGTGTGTGTACACACGCGCACAGGCACGCACAGGGACCGACGCACAGCCGGCCCTACGCAGGCAGAAACGCAGATACACACAGGCCATGTGTGCACATGCACACACCCACATACGCGCGCACACACACACACAGACACAAGCAGAGAGGCAGGCCAGTATCATAGATGCAGGGAGGGAACTGGCAGCCTAGGACAGACACAGCTCTGAGATCAACACAAACAGCTCCCCTTTCTCCCCGCTGGCCTCCTTCCCACTCCCCTTTTGCTCACTACAGAACGCTGCTCCTTCAAGGCCTGGAAACTGCAGATGAGGGAAAGGGAAAGACAAGGGCAGAGGCGGCAGCAGGGAAGGATAGAGCGGTGGTGACTAAGGGCTGGGACCACGGAATGGGGACGGGGCTCACCTTTTTGTAACCAGCACTGGGCTCCTCCGAGTTGGGCCCCTCCTCAGCACCACTCTCGCCCTCCTCGTCCTTGACCTGGATGCAATCCTCCTCCTCCCCATCCTCTTCCTCCTCCTCCTCCTCCTCCAGGTCTTCCTGTGTGCTCTCACTCTCTGTGGAGCCCTCCCGGGGCATGGTCAGGGCTCCCTCCCCCAGCAAGGCCTCCTGCTGCTCTGTCAGCTCCTCCTCTGTTTCCTCAGGGTGGGTGGTGGGCTGCCTGGGCAGCTCCCCTGTTTTGGTGAGAATCTGGTAACAGAAACAGAGGCACATCAGCTGGGGGCAGCCTGTAACCCAGATGGGTTTATCCTTCCCTCCCTCCCTTCTTCCAGGCAGAGCTTCTATGTGAGTTAGAAAAAGGCCAGGTGGTTCCTCTGAGAGCAGGGCTCTATTTTTTTCTTCTTGAGACAGAGTCTCCCTCAGTTGCCCAGACTGGAATGCAGTGGCTCGATCTCAGCTCACTGCAACCTCTGCCTCCCAAGTTCAAGAGATTCTCCTGCCTCAGCCTCCCCAGTGGCTGCGATTATAGGTGCATGCCACCATGTCCAGCTAATTTTTGCTTTTTTTTTTTTGAGATGGAGTCTTGCTCTTGTTGCCCAGGCTGGAGTGCAATGGTGTGATCTCGGCCCACTGCAACCTCCACCTCCTGGGTTCAAGCGATGCTCCTGCCGTAGCCTCCCAAGTAGCTGGGATTACAGGCACCTGCCACCAAGCCCAATTAATTTTTGTGTTTTTAGTAGAGAACGAAGTTTCACCATGTTGGCCAGGCTGGTCTCAAACTCCTGACCTCAGGGGATCCGCCCACCTGAGCCTCCCAAACTTCTGGGATTACAGGTGTGAGCAACTGCACCTGGCCTGAGAGGAGGACTTTTCTGCCAGCCTGGTGCTCACCTGCATCCTGCCCCCAGCACAGCCCCAGGCCGTTCACCTCTCTAGGCTCACCTTGCCCAGCTGCAGCTGCTGCTGCTTCTGCTTCTCCAGGAACTGCTGGTGCTGTTGTTGCATGACCAGCTGCTGCAGGGCCTGGGGACTCTGCGGCAGCGGTGAGGACTGAGTGCGGCTCAGGGGCCGATGCCGTGGGAGCTTGCCCACTGTCCGCATGCTGGTGGCCACACGTTCACCCGTCACTAGTGGGGACTGCCCGTGGAGCGGCACTATGGAGTTAGGGGTGACGACTAAGCACCATTGTCAGGGCACCTGACTGCCCCCCAAGCCCAGACCTTGCCCCATATCCCCTCTGGAATATCACCACCTAAATAGTCCCCCCAGTACCTGGGGGACCTAGAGCACCCTCCACCCAAACCTGAGCCCCATTCTTCCTTTTCCCCACAACTGAAGAGTTTCACACCTCTAAAGTACCACCTCCAGGAAGCTTTCCTGGATTCACCATCTTTTCCCTTTGATTTGCTTAACTGAATAAACTGAGTACACATGTAGTCTGGAGCCCTGTTTGAGTGAACAATGACTTGTTCTCCCCAAGTGTAACAAGGCCTCCTTGATCGTGGACCCTCGTGGATCCCGCCAGGCCAGGAAGCCCTGGGGGCCAGGATCATGTATCTTTCAAGCAGAACCTCTTCTGATGCCGACAGGTACTTAAGGGCTGTCTAAAGCTATGCTGTCCCGTCCCATGGCTACTGGTTACACGTGACTACCGAGCCCTTCAACACAGCCTATCTAAAGTGAAATGTGACATAAGTGTGAAGTATACACTATATTTCAAAGACTTAGTATGAAACAAAAAGCAAAATATCTCACTGGTAACTGCATGTTGGCCAGGCACAGTGCAGCTCACACCCGTAATCCCAGCACTTTGAGAGGCCAAGGCAGGAGAATGGCTTGAGCCCAGGAGTTCAAGACCAACCTGGGCAGCCAGGCACAATGGCTCACGCCTGTAATTCCAGCACTCTGGGAGGCCGAGTTGGATAAACTACCTGAGGTCAGGATTTCGAGACCAGCCTGACCAATATGGTGAAACCCCATCTCTAATAAAAATACAAAAAATTAGCTGGGCGTGGTGATGCATGCCTGTAATCCCAGCTACCTGGGAGGCTATGGCAGGAGAATCACTTGAACCTGAGAGGCAGAGGTTGCAGTCAGCTGAGATCATGCCACTGCATTCCAGCCTGGGCAAAAAGAGTGAAACTTTGTCTCAGAAAAAAAAAATTAGCGACGTGTGGTGGCTGATGTCTGTAGTCCCCACTACTCAGGAGGCTGAAGCAAAAGAACTGCTTGAACTCAGGAGGCGGGAGTTGCAGTGAGCCGAGATCCTGCCATTGCACTCCAGCCTGGTGACAGAATGAGACTCTGTCTCAAAAAA